GCTGTTGTCAGCACCACGCTCTCCCAAGTAAGCTACCTGGCCATCTCTATATAGGGATCTGAACCTGTGGCCTTGGTGTTATCAGCACCACATTCTCCCAAGTGAGCCACAGGCTGGCCCTCACTTGCCCTTCTTATAAAGCCATCAGGACCATGCCCATGATCGATGGGCATTGATCCATGAATGGATCAATCCATTCAAGATGGCACATTCCTCACAATCTAGTCACCTCTTACAGGCCTACCTTTCAAATGCCATAACTGGATTTTCCATCCTCTTAGCAGTGTTATATATTCTTTTTTGAGGGGCAGCTGGCCCGTGTGGGAATGTGAACCCTTGACCTTGGTGTTATCAGCTCCATGCTCTCCCAATTGAGCTAACCTGCCAGCCCTAAATTTTTAATTTTTTGCAAGTAGTTTCTTAAACATATGTATGACCCTCATCCAGCTGTGTCATCTATTGGGTTAAAATCCTACTAAATCTTCACAGCTAGAAATACTTGCATTTTGGAAATTCACAATTATATGAATAATTGTATCTGCTTTGCATGGCTTACATTAGGGACTGTGTCCAAAATAATTGAGAAATAATTAGCAATTAACCTTATTCAAAGTGATTTTATTGATAGCATCTATAACATTTATTATTTAGTTTTTTATTTTATTCCTGAAAATAGTCTGCTACATTATTTGGTATTGATGTTTGTGTTTTGGATAAATGTGCTAACAGGATGCCATGAACTTTTGCCATCATTTCTGCTAAATAAAAAAATTATTAGGCTATTAAAATTTATTGGAGGATCCTCTGAACACTAGATACTTCCCCTCCAAAAACTGAATCATATTTATTATGTTATCAACAAACGTAGGCCTATATTTTCCCATATTTTGTAGAATTGCTAATTATTTATACTTTTTTCACATCTGATATTAACTTTTAATATTTAAACTATTGATGTGCATTTCATTTTAGTAATATTTAAAGATATGTGATAAATGCTGCTAATCTTTGCATCAGTTTTTATTCTTTAGTGCCCCCCAAAGATTTTGCAATTTAGACAAAATATAGAATCCTTTGAGCAGAAATGTTGTAGAACCTGTTGTCAATTCAATTATTCCTCCTTTGTAGGTTATATGCTCTTTCTTTGTGAAAACTTTTATATTTTTCTCTTTGAGGCTCTCACATTTCATTATAATGTGATTAACTGTGTTTTGTTTGTTTCTTTTCTGGTATTTTGTGAATACTATGATCTGTGGGTTCCACTATTCCTTAATTTTGAGAAATTTATTTTCATTATTTCTTCAATTATTTTCTTCACTCCACTTATATTTTTTATTTCTCTCTAGATCTCGTATTATCTGGCTTTTGGCATTTACATAATTCTTCTCATATCTCTTAGCTTTTAGTTTTCATTTCTCTTTCTCTTTTCTCTTTGCCATTTCTCTTTTCTAGCAGATCACAATATGATCTTCCATCTTACTGATTTTTTCTTCAGCAGTATTATGTGATTAGTTATGTTATTTTGTCTATTAAAATTTTCATCCCTAATATTTCTACTTTGATCTTTAAAAAGTACATCTTTAACCTGTTTTATATTGCTAACATTCTCTCTCTCTCTGTGTTTGTGTATTTTTAGTCTCTCTGTCCTAATAATTTTGCATGTGGGACATATTTATAGTTTGTTGTTTTTCTTTTTTAATGGTTGTATTTTTTAGGTGTCAAGTTGTTTTGGCCTGTAAGCTCATATACCCTTGGGGGTGTTACCTACTCTGTCTGATAACCCATTGTTAGGAAATGGTCAAAAGCAAGTCACCACCCGGGGTGGAGCTTGCTCAATGTCTGTGCCCCTCCTTCCAGTGGTGGACAAACTCAGGTTTGTATCTGTAATGGATCTAGTACAGGAGTTTTCTTCCCTTCTCCCCAAGGTAGAAGACCTCTAATGGCTTTAGTACAAGGTCCTGGGTGCAGGACTTCTTTCTGCCCTTCTTCTCCCAGGGGTAGGAAGTTTCTTTTTTCTTCTATCCTTCCCATAGTAACAATGGGTCTTTTCCTGTGCCCACAGAGAGAAAGAGTTTTCTGCCATTTCCCCAGTGCTACAAAGTTTTTGGTCTATATGAGTGAAGGTTTCAAACGGGAGAAGTGGGGCTTCATGCCTTTCTCATGCCAGTGGCTGATCCCCTTCTCCATGCCAGCAGCGTTATCAGTGGTTCTCTCTGATCTCCCACCCAGCTCCCAATCTTTCTCATGAGCACACAGTGGAAGTCTATGGAAAAGAACATGAATGAGTGTAAATTCCTCCTGGATCTGGGACTCCCAACTAAGGATTCTATATTGTCGTGCTAGCTTACATTAAGAAGTTAGCAACCCATTAAGACTTTAGTCAATTTTCTCCTTCTCACTTTGGTAATGGCTACACCCTTTTCCCTTTTTCTTCCATAGTGGTGGAGTCTATGCATCCTGATTCCCATTAGAGGGGCCAGTCCTATCTTGGGTTTTAGGCTACTTAATTACCCTGTAACTTCAGCTCTCTGATGGGTTCCAAAAAAGTTTTCATTTTTTAACTTATCTGGCTTTTTCTCATTGTTAGAGAGAAATCAATACTCTTTCCAGCTTTCTATATTATAGACAGAAACAGAAATATCTTTCTATATTATAGACAGAAACAGAAGTATCTCATAGTAATTTATTTTAAAAAAAAGTGCTGTGGGTATGCATTCACATGAAAGAAAGACTAAAAGAAAAAAGTCCCCATATATAAAGAATGCTATTACTATGTGTTACAGTTTTGCATCTTTTAATTTTTCTTCTTTGTCTATTTCTATACTCCTCAAATTCTTTACAAAGATATAATTTTGTAATGTAAAAAAAATCTGTGCATGTACATGCATATATGTATGTCTGTATACCATTTTTTAAAGTCAAGTAGAAATGCTAGAACATTATTTTACCATAAATATGCCATGTATTTGCTGTTTCAAAAATCTTTCTTTCAAAGAGAAAGAGTTTTGTGTCCTCAAAATTCATGCAATTATATATTTAAAAAAAAAAAAAGCAAGTTGCCAGTCTGTGTCCCTCCCAGGAAGTTTAAGGAAAGCATATGGGTGTCATTTGTTTCCTAGGTGCTAGGTGTTTCCTGTTGTCTAAATGTGTCCCCCCAAAATTCATATGTTGAAATCCAAACCCCAAAGGTGATGGTATTAGGAGGTGGGGCCTTTGGGAGGTGATTAGGTCATTAGGGTGTTGCCCTTACAAATAGAACTAATGCCCTTATAAAAGAGTTCCCCAGAAGTTCTTTTGCTTCTTCCACCATGTGAGGACACACAGAGAAGACCCCATCTGTTCATTGTCTGGGCTTTCAGTAGACACTGAATCCACTGATCCCTTGATGTTGGACTTCCCAGCCTCCACAACTGTGAGAAATAAATGTTTGTTGCCACCCAGTTTGTGGTATTTTGTTACAGCAGCCTGAAGGGGCTAAGACACTAGGGCTGCTGTGACAAAGTACCACAAACTGGATGACTTAAAACAACACAAATTTATTCTCTCACAGTTCTGGAATTTAGGGGAGAATTCTTTATTGCTTCTTCCAAGTTTCTAGCAATTCTTGACTGTCTTTGGCTTGCATCTGCATCACTTCAATCTCTGTCTCTGTCAATACATGGCCTTATAGTGACACTAGTCATTAGGGCCCACCCTAATCCCATATGACCTCGTCTTAACTTTATTATATCTGCAAAGTCCCTAGTTTCAAATAAGGTCACATTCACAGGTGCCAGTTGTTAGGACTTGAACCTATCTCTTTTTTGTGTCACAGTTCAGCCCACAGCAAAGGGACTAGCCGAAGTGTGGAGAGCTTCAGGCAGCAGAGAACCAATGTTATGTTTTCTTAATTTTGTCACTCTACCTGACAATTCCCATGGTTAGACATAGACTTTTTAAATTCTTTGGGAGGAGGCATTGTCCTGAGTCTTAATCAACCACCTTTGGAGGGAGAGAGAAATAGAGGAATGAAAGACTAAGGACTGTGTAATCTGTCCTTTTTCTTCCAGCACAGCTTTGGAGTAGCCTTGACAGTACCCTGCTGATACTCTGAACCAAGGCTATTACTTTTGTGGGGATGATGATATGAATTTAGGACATATAGTATCTCAAATATGAGAGAAAGAAAAAAAAGTTTTTCTAAATATATTCTCTGACTTTTGCCTTCTTCTCTCACTATGTTCCCACCCTAAAATACCCTGTACACAAATTAGCCTCCAATTAGGGGTTTCTCACAGATTTTGCTTAAAAAAAAATATATATATATATATACACACACACACATACACGTATATAATATATGTGTGTATGTGTGTGTGTGTGTATAGTTATTGCTTGTTTTTAGGAATGTTTAGCTCTCTATTTTGTAATTTCTTCAGGGCTGATTTTGGGATTTACTATCAACATAGCAATTGATAATTCTTCCATCTTTTTAAATCTGAAATCTTTTCATCTATTTCCTGCCTCACTTATAGGAAATGCTATAAATCCTATGGATAAAAAAGCCAATATTTTCCATATGGAAAGCAAACTATACAGAAAGGAAGCAAGACTTGTAGCCAAATTGACCTGTATTGAAACAACAATTTTAACATTTATTAGCTGATGTCTCTTGGCTAGTCACTTAACTACTTTGAGCTCAATTTACTCACATGTAAAATGGGAATAGTGATGTATATAAAGGGTATATCTTAGCTTAAGATAAGGTCTTATAATAACCTTAGTTATTATACTTAAGTGATTATAACTCAAAAGAGCCAAAAGTGTAATTGTAGCTTCCAGAAGTTGCTTGATATACACTGAGCAAATTGCTAAAACATCAGAACAACAAAAACAGAAATGTAGTATGTGAATTTAATTAGAGTATCTTTTATTTTTGTTGATTAATTAAGTGGTGTGGTGTTTGCAATGAATCTCTTAATGTTTTATTCACAGGAATGAAATTTTTAATCTATAATTTAGAAACTGAGTCAATAACAAAATGAAGCCAGCAAAGCATGTGTTAGCCACCAGCAACAACTTGGCAAATGTTCCGGAATTAAATTCTAAAAAAGGACTACTTAATTTACCATTGTCACCTAAACCAAGGGAAAAACATAATACAAAATCAGTACGTGATAAAATTGAACCAATGGTCCTAAGATCACCACCAAAAGGAGAATCTGTTGTACGGTATGCTTTGCCCATTTTGTCAAGTAAGACAAACGATTTAATACCAGAAGACGAAATGATCAGGAAAATTACAAAACATCTGAAGATGGTAAGACACTTCTTGGTCCCTGTGTTGGAGGGTCCCCATAACCACCCCCGGGTTTGATGATTAGGTAGGAGGACTCACAGGACTCTATATAGTCATACTGATGGTTAAGTTTACTACAGTAGGCACATGGGGTGAAATCTGGAGGAAACCATGTCCAAGCTTGCAAGAGTCTCCTCCCTTTGGAGTCACACAGGACATGCTTAATTCCTCTAGCAATGAATTGTGACAACACATGTGAAATGTCTACCAAGGAAAATCACTAGAAAGTCAGTGTCCATGGTTATTTTAATTTTGTTTTATTTTATTTTATTATACATACATGGGGGATACAACATTGGGGTACAACATTGATAATTGTGTACAATGTATGGTGGTTAGATCAGTATTGTAAGCTTATTCAGCATTACAATACGCAATCATTCTTTGTGTCTGTTGACCAATTCCTCATCAGTCCCCTCACCTCCCCTCCCCTTTCCACCTCTAGTTTTCTAAAAGTTCAATGTATTACTGTGATTGTTGTTTCTTTCTTTCTTTCTCTCTGTCTCTCTTTATTGTTAATTTGTTTATTTATGGATTCAGTTCCCAGTTATTAGTGCATATATGTGGTATTTCTCTTTCCGTACCTGGGTTATTTCACTTAGAATAATTTTCTCCAGACTCATCCATGTTGCTGCAAATGGTAGAATTTCATTCTTTTTTATGGATGAGTAGAATTCCATCATCTCACCCCAATCAGACTATTATAAAAAAGACAGAGAATTACAAATGCTGGCGAGGATGTGGAGAGAGAGGAACCCTCCTGCACTGTTGGTGGGACTGTAAATTAGTACAGCCATTATGGAGAACAGTATGGAGGTTCCTTAAACAACTACAGATGGAGCTTCCATATGATCCAGCAATCCCACTGCTGGGGATATATCCAGAGGACTGGAAAACATCAGGTCGAAGGGATACCTGCACTCTCATGTTTATTGAAGCTCTATTTACAATAGCTAGATGGTGGAACCAACCTAAATGTCCATCGATGGTTGACTGGATAGTGTCCAGAGTTTTATTGGGGGTTGTTCACCTAGGCACCCTCTGGCTAGCATGTACCAAAATTCCAGACTCCTACAATGAAAGCAGATGTTCAGCATAAACCACGTTATTTGTACAGTTTACGGACAGTGAGCCACTCTTATTGGTGAATGATGGGGACTCTCCTGAAATCCAAGTTCTCAGATACCAGGCTAAGGCCAGCCTTGTAAGCAGGCCTTTCTAAGTTTCATGCTTTTCTCTGCACTTAAGAGACTTTAGCTCTCAGCATTGGAAAATATTCCCTTTCTCTGAATTTCTTTTTGCACAATGATCCTGAATTGAATTATAAATTTGTCAAATGTCAAGTGAGAACAATGAGGAAAAACACAAATATAAAAAGAATGCAGTTCGTCAAACTTCAGAAATAGAAGTTTGTTTAGTTTGAGGGGTTGGCTAAGAGGATTTCTTTTTAAAATTTACTGCTTTCTAGTCTCCATCTTTCTATTTTTACTACTTTACTCTACTTAATTCTTCAACAATTCATGGACATACCTTTTCCCTTTCAGTTACCTATGAACACAGAAGTGGTAGAGTCACAGAGTAACTCTCCATTGCTAGGGAGCAGGACCAAGGACTGTTACCTATGTCGTCTTTATGATGATGTGAGATGTGACATAGGATGAAAAATTTAAGCTTATGGCACTGACAAATGAGTCATTGCTAAAAAGGTCCTGGCACAATTGATTAAATATCCTGTACTTAATATAATTAATTTCAAACTATGAAAGTATTTCGTTTGCTTTGATTTTTTTCATAGGTTGTTTCTACTTTGGAAGAAACCTATGGATTTAATATTGAAAATGGAGTAAAGCCAGTTGTGAAACCTGAAGATGAAGAATTATCTTTATCTGTAAGTATGTGTAACCCTCATGTAGAGACAGTAACACTGAAAAGGGCTAAGATTTTCTTCTGGAGTCCATATATGTTCTCAGAATTAATTCCCCATCCATGGAAATGAATCTCTTAGGAAACCTGAAAGTAGTGTACTGATTTTTCCATTTTTTGCCAGCACCTATCTTAAAGTTTAATTGAGGCGTACTGTATCTTGAGCCTGCTTTTAATGGTAATGCCTGTCCTATTTAATTTTTAAGCATGGGATTGGCTGTTGGTTTGAGATGTATATTCTGTATTGTGTTAAAATAGTATTCTATTTCTAGCTTGCTAAATAAAAAACCAAAAGAATAAAAGAGTTTATTGAGTTTTAACAAATGTCTTTCATGTGTATATTGAAGTAATGCAACTATTAAGGTTATTATATGGTTCTTCAACCTGTTGATGAATTATTTTGCATATTTTTAAATATCTGAGTGTACTTTGATAAGTTTTACAGTTTAAAATAATTATAAATATTTAAATATTATTATTTAAATATTTAAAATATAAATATTTTATAAAAATAATTATAATTAGTTTTATTAGTAAGAGATTGAACTTGGCTCCATGTATTGATACACCTATGTTGAGTCTATCAATCCATGCACATGGTATGTCTCTCTATTTATTTAGGTCTCATTTGAATCCTTTCATCAGCATTTAAAAATTTTCATCATATAGATCCTACACATTATTTGTTAGATTTATAAATTGATATTTCATGTTATTTTGGAGTGATTATTAATGACATTATATTTTTAATTTCATGTCCACATTTGTTACTAGTGTATAAAAATATGATTGATTTTATATATTGCAACCTTGATCAATGCACTCTTTCATTTTTGGAGTTTTTCTGTAGATTACCTGGGATTTTCTACATAGACTGTCAGGTCATATTTAAATAGAGACAGTTTTACTTCTTTCTGTTCAATCCAAATGCTTTTTATTTTTTTCTCTTGACTTGTTGTGCTGGCAGTGATTTCCACTATCATATTAAATAATAGTTGTAAGAGTGAATATCCTTGCCTCATTCTGATGGCTACCTTCAGACAAGGGTAGAAGTGAAATTCCCTGTTTGGCCCCACCAATATCACACTGGTGGGGTAATTGGAGCATTATCTACTACTGCCAGGTAGGCAGTAGAAATTCTTTCTCCATTCAGCCCTGCTGACGTATATGTGGTGGTGGTGCATAATTTTTCTTAATATTTGGCTCAAGTAGGATAGATATTGTCAGAAAGGTTTTGTGTTATGCTAGAGACCCCCTTTCTTCATCTGTTCTTACTGGCAGTTCCCTGTTGCAGGCTTTTCCAAAGCACAATCTAGTATATGCAGGTGAAAAGAAAATCCAAGGAACTCATTGACATGTGTCCATCAAGTCCTGAGGTTCCTACCTTTCTATTTCCACCTTTCAGAGTTTTCCTATTTGTTATATGTAAGGTATTTTAATTGTAGGAGGGAGGATTAGAGGAACGGGGCTAGTCCATCATGGCCAGAACTGAAAGTCCAATATTATTTTTTATCTTTGATACAATTCTGTTTTGATAACAGCTTTCTTATGATTAGTTACTGCATGTTATATCTTTCAAACTTTTACTTTCAAACTATATGACTATATATTTACTATATGTCTCTTTGACACAGTATGTAGGGGAGTCTTGATTTTTTTATCCAGCCTCAACAATCTGTCTTTTAATTAGTGTGTTTAGCTCATTTACACTTAATTAAAACAATTAAATGTCATGTCATGTAATTAATTTATTGTAATAAAATGTTAATGAACTAATGTAAATTAAGTCTATCTGGCTATTTGGTTTTTGTTGTTGTTGTTGTTTTTTATCCCATACATTCTTTGCTCCTTTGTTCTTTCTTTTCAGACTTATTTTGGGTTAATTATGTATTTTTAAAACATTTTATTTTATTTTGTCTTTGGCTTTTAAGCTATGTCCTTTTTTGTACTTGCTGTAGTTATTTTAAATTTATCACAATTTATCTTGAATTAATATTACACCACTTCATTTCTAATGTGAGAATCTTATAGTGATACAATTCCATTAACCCTTACTTATGGGGTTTTTTGTGTGTTTGTGCTATTGTTATATCACTGTTGCCCTTTTTGCTCAGGCTGCTTTTAAGATTTTCTCTTTATCTTTTGTTTTCAGCACTTGATAATATATGTCTAGGTGGGGTTTTCTGTGTATTTATTCTGCATAGGACCCACCAAGCTGAGTCTGTGGGTTTATGTTTTTTACCAAATGTGGAAAATTTATTATTTCTTCAGATATTTTACTGCCTCCCCTCCCCCTTTTAGTAGGACTCTAATTACACATGTATTAGACTGATACTGGGTAAGAAAGAAGACACTCATACTTGTTTTCTCTTTCTGTGCTTTTGTTTGGACAATGTATGTTATCTTCAGCTTCATCATTCCATTCTGTAGTGTCTGATGTGTTAAGTTCTATCTGATGAATTTTTTACTTCAAATATAATTTTCACATCTAGGATTACATTTTATTTCTTGGAGGTTTTTATATCTGTCCTACTATTATCTACCTCTTCACCTATTCTATCTCTCTTTTTCTGAACATCTTTTACCTTATCGATAATAGATTAAAAAATTCCTTGTCTGCTAATTCCAGTATCTGGATCATCAGTGTATTTGGTTTACTGACTAGTTTTGTTTTGATTATGGGTCATATTTTCCTGGTTCTTCATATTTTGTAATTTGTTTTATTGGAGTCAAAAAGCATTATATATAAAAGAACAACAGAAACTGAGGTATAATATTTTGTTTTCTTTTGTTTTCTAGAGATTTCCCGTTCTTTCCTTTCTCTGGCATTTAGGGTGAAGGGCTAATCATTCACATTTCGCTGAGAACTGAATTGAGTTGGAACTGGTCCACAGTTAATACTTAATTAGGTTGAGTTCTCATCTAATTTGTCTAACCCATGATCTCTTCTTTTGTTGCTTTTCATGATGGGCTTATTTCTTGGACCTTTTTAGTATTTGATGTGGCAGGAGTTTGAACTTCAATTTTATTTTATTTATTTTATTATTTTTTTGTTAATTTTTTATTTTATTTTATTTTGTCAATATACAATGCGGTGGATTATTGTGGCCCATTACCGAAACCTCCCTCCATCCTCCCTCTCCCCCCTCCCTCCCAACAATGTCCTTTCTGTTTGCTTGTCGTATCAATTTCAAGGAATTGTAATTGTTGTGTCTTCTTCCCTCCCCCAGCCCAGTTATCTGTGTATTTATTTATTTATTCTTAGCTCCCACAAATAAGTGAGAACATGTGATATTTCTTTTTCTGTGCCTGACTTGTTTCGCTTAATATAATTCTCTCTAAGTCCATCCATGTTGTTGCAAATGGCAGTATTTCATTCGTTTTTATAGCAGAGTAATGTTCCATTGCATAGATATACCACATTTTCCATATCCACTCGTCTGATGATGGACATTTGGGCTGGTTCCAACTCTTAGCTATTGTAAATAGTGCTGGATTGAACATTGGAGAACAGGTATACCTTTGACTTGATGGTTTCCATTCCTCTGGGTATATTCCCAGCAGTGGAATAGCTGGGTCATATGGTAGATCTATGTGCAATTGTTTGAGGAACCTCCATACCATTTTCCATAGAGCCTGCACCATTTTGCAGTCCAACCAACAATGTATGAGAGTTCCTTTTTCTCCGTAACCTTGCCAGCATTTATCACTCACAGTCTTTTGCATTTTAGCCATATTTTAGCCATCCTAACGGGGGTGAAATCGTATCTCAGTGTGATTTTGATTTGCATTTCCCGAATGCTGAGTGATGTTGAGCATTTTTTCATGTGTCTGTTGGCCATGTGTACATCTTCCTTTGAGAAATGCCTATTTAGCTCTTTTGCCCATTTTTTAATTGGGTTACTTGTTTTTTTGTTGTAAAGTTGTTTCAGTTCCTTGTACATTCTGGATATTAATCCTTTGTCAGATGTATATTTTGCGAATATTTTCTCCGACTCTGTGGGCTGTCTTTTCACTCTGTAAATTGTTTCTTTTGCTGTGCAGAAGCTTTTTAGTTTGATATAACTCCATTTTTTTGTTTTTCCTTTGGTTGCCCATGCTTTTGGGGTCATATTAATGAAATCTGTGCCCAGTCCTATTTCCTGAAGTGTTTCTCCTATGTTTTCTTTAAGAAGTTTTATTGTTTCAGGGTGTATATTTAATTCTTTAATCCATTTTGAGTTGATTTTAGTACATGGTGAGAGGTATGGGTCTAGTTTTATTCTCCTGCCTATGGATATCCAGTTATCCCAGCACCATTTGCTGAAGAGGCAGTCTCTTCTCCAGTGTATAGTCTTTGTGCCTTTGTCAAAAATCAGATGGCTAGGGCCAACCCCGTGGCTCACTCAGGAGAGTACAGCGCTGGGAGCACTGTGGTGCTGGGAGCGCCAAGGCCGCAGGTATGGATCCTATATAGGGATGGCCGGTGTGCTCACTGGCTGAGCGTGGTGCAGGCAACACCAAGCCAAGGGTTACAATCCCCTTACTGGTCACACAAACACACACACAAAAATCAGATGGCTATAGGTATGTGGGTTGATTTCTGGATTTCTGGATTCTTTATTCTATTCCATTGATCAGTGTGTCTCATTTTATGCCAGTACCATGCTGTTTTGGTTATTATAGCTTTGTAGCATAGTTTAAAGTCAGGTAGTGTTATACCTCCAGCTTTATTTTTTTGCTCAGAATTGCTTTGGCTATGCATGGTCTTTTGTTATTCCATATAAATGTCTTGATAGTTTTTTCCATTTCTGAGAAAAATGTCATTGGAATTTTGATAGGGATTGCATTGAATTAGTATATCACTTTGGGTAGTATGCACATTTTCACACTGTTTAGAAAAGGTGATATCTTCTAGTCCTTGTCATTACTGATAACTATTCCATAATTTGAATTTCATCCATCCTAATTGCTGGCCACCACCTCCTATTTTTCCCACTCAGTCTGTCTAATATTCTGACTCCAAAAATCCTTTGATTTCACTGAGATGTATAATCCATTGGTCTTACTGCCTTTTTACTGTTCCAAATCCTCCTCATGTCTTTACTTACCCAGTTTAAATTGTATGTCCTACTTGTACTTAAGTCTTTCATACTGTCCTGCTTTGTTGGTCTTATTTGGTTGAACTGCAAACTTGATCATATTGATCTCCATCTTCTCTATATTTGTGGCATCTGAACGTGGGTGGAAGAAAATCCCCAAGTATGTTAATGGTCTCCCTTTGTATTTGTGATTAGTAACTCTAGTCTATTCATTTCCCCACTCTCTTGGATAATTATTTCAAGTTTTTCCCTTCTCTTCTATACAATTATAGGTCTTTACATGACAAAGGAAGTATGTGAGCCTATGAGTATGTTTAAAATATAATGTTCAAGGAACATAATCTTCATGGGGAATCACTCTGTGAGAATCCTAACTGAATAGAAATATCTAAGATTTATTTGTTATGGGTCAGTTCTCTGATTTACAAAGCACTGCTCTACTAGAAGAAATTTAGTAATTGTGACATTTTAATTTGTAACTTTTTTCCCTCAAAGTTTTCTATTGCTTATACATGAGAATAAAAGATTACAGCTATTGACAAGTATACTTATAGTCAGAAGTTGTACTTAGCATTCATTTTCTAACATAAAGAGATATTTATAAGGTATACATGCCATAGTTACCCTTTTTGAGCCACCCAGAAATTTTACAAGTGTAATGCTGGAGTGCTTGATTTCCTGCAACTGTGTAGAGGAGAATGAGAGAAAATTCATAGCTACATATATGTCATTAGTGGGCCACTCATCAGAAGTGCTTTCCTCCATATTTTCTTTCTGGAAGAATTTGCTAGTATAGCATTTGAAGAATGGTTTCTTGTCTTATACCTTTGAAGGGATTTAAATTACACAAAAATTAAAATAATATAAAAAAATAGTTAAGTATATGAAGAGACTTCAAAAAGTTTATGGAAAGATTTGTATTATATTTTAATTCTATTTTTCCATGAATTTTTTGAAATTCCCTCATAGTAAAAAATAGATATATACACATATGGATTCCAAAATAAAAGTAACTTTCTGTTTTCATCTTCTTTTTGAAAGGTTGGGGATGACATGAATTCATTCGTGACATTTTGTTCACAATTTGCAGCTCAGCTAGAAGAAACAGTTAAGGAAGAACGTAATGTATGCATTCTGTGTAAACTGAGAAGTATAAAAATATTAAAACTTGTAGTGGTTGTTGAAACTTGATTGTGATATCCTGTCAGCAATATTAGCCTAGATTCAATGCCTTAAGGAGTTAAAAGGGCATTGGAAAGCATTATTTATTTTTCTTTATTTTTTAATTTTTTAATTTTTATTTTTTATTTATACATGTGGGGTACAATGTCGATTTTCAATAACTGTGTAGAATGTGTGGTGGGTTAGATCAGTATAGTTAGCTTATTCATCATTACAATACGCCATCATTCTTTGTGTCCATTGACCAGTTCCTTATTAGTCCCCCTCACTCTCCCCGCTCCTCCCTTTTTCCACCTCTAGATTTCTAAAAGTTCAACGCATTACTGTGATTGTTGTTTTTTTCTTTCTTCCTTGCTGTTTCTCTTTATTGTTCATTTGTTTATTTATGGATTCAGCTCCCAGTTATGAGTGAGAACATGTGGTATTTGCCTTTCTGTACCTGGGTTGTTTCACTTGGGATAATTTTCTCCAGACTCATCCATGTTGTTGCAAATGGTAGAATTTCATTCTTTTTTATGGCTAAGTAGTATTCCATTGTGTATATATACTACAATTTCCTTATCCAGTCATCCATTGATGGACATTTGGGTTGATTCCATCATCCAGCTATTGTTAATAGAGCTGCAATAAACACGGGAGTGCAGGTATCCCTTTGACCTGATGTTTTCCAGTCCTCTGGATATATCCCCAGGAATGGGATTGCTGGATAATATGGAAGTTCCATCTGTAGTTGTTTAAGGAACCTCCATACTGTCTTCCATAATGGCTGTACTAATTTACAGTCCCACCAGCAGTGCATTTACATCTGTAAATTTTCCTTTAAGTATAGCATCAACAGGGTCATTTTTATTTTTTATTTTTTTAAATTTTAACTTCTCAATATACATTGTAGTTGATTTTCATGACTCTTTACCAGTTCCTCTTTTTCTCCTCCCTCTCTCCCCTCCCCCCTCACTACATCATATCTGTTCACTTGTCTTAACAAGTTCAAGGAGTTGTGATTGTTGTGTCTTCTTCCTCCCCCACCCTTTGTTTGTGTGTTTATTCATTTATTTATTTTTAGCTTCCATAATTAAGTAAGAAGACATGATATTTCTCTTTCTGTGCCTGACTTGTTTCACTTAATATAATTTTCTTTAAGTCCATCCATGTTGTTGTGAGTGGTAGTATTTCATTCTTTTTTATAGCAGAGTAGAATTACACTGATTTCCTGTTTAATTTCTTCTTGGACCCATATGAAGAATTAAGTAGAATGTTGTTTAATTTCCATGTGTTTGTATCATTTCTAGAGTTTCGTTTGTTACTGATTCCTAATTTTAATCCATCGTGATGTGAAAAAATACATGGAATAAGTCTAATTTTTAAAAATTTGTTGAGACTTGCTTTGAGACCTAACATGTGGTCTATCCTTGAAAATGTTCCATGAGATGATGAGAAGTATGAATATTCTGAGGTTGTTGGATGGAATGTTCTGTAGATATCTACCAAGTCCAATTGGTCTAAAGTGTTGTTTAGAGCTTGTGTTTCTTTATTAATTTTTTGCCTAGATGGTCTGTCCAATGTTGAGAGTGAGGTGTTATGGTCCCCAACTATTGTGGTGTTAGTGTCTATCTCATTCTTTAGATCTAATAGTGTTTGCTTTATAAATCTGGCTGCTCTGACATTGGGTGTGTATATATTTATGATTGTTATGTCTTCTTGATGGATAGATCCTTTTTTCATTATGTAGTGGCCTTCTCTATCTCTTTTTATGGTTTTTGCTTTGGAGTCTATTTTATCTAAGAATAACTACTCCAGCTCATTTTCTTTTCTATTTGCGTGGTATATCTTTTTCCATCCTTTCACTCTTAGTCTATGTTTTTTCTTTATAAGGTGAGGTGAGTCTCTTGAAGGCAGCATATTGTTGGGTCCATCTTTTTAATCCAGTCAGTCAGTCTATGTATTTTGAATGGGGAATTTAATCCCTTTAAGCGTAGAGTTATTATTGAAAGGTGTTCATTTACTCCTATCATTTTATCGATTTTTGTTTGAATATCTTATGTATCTTTTGTTACTTTCTTTGTGATTTTCTGTTTGTCATCTGTATTTGTTGGTTTCTTGGGGTGGTAGATAAACTATTTTTTCTCTTTATTGTTAGCATTTTTGTTTTCCTGGTAGGTTTTTCCTTGTTGAGTATTCATGGCAGTGATGGTTGTTTTTCAGGTATCAAACCCAGTACTTCCTTGAGAAATTCTTTTAAGGCTGGCTGTGTGGTAGTGAACTCCTGTAGTTTTTGTTTGTCTGAGAAATATACTATTTGTCTTTCATTTTGGAAGGATAGCCTTGCTGGGTAAAGTATTCTTGGCTGGCAGTTTTGTTCCTTTAATATTTTGAATATATCATCCCATTCTTTTCTGGCTTTTAGGGTTTGTGTTGAAAAGTCTGATTGGGGCTCCCTTACAGGTGACTTGATGCTTCTCTCTTGCAGCTATTAAGATTCTCTCTTTGTCTTTGAGTTTTGCCAGTTTGACTATAAGTCTTGGAGAGGACCTTTTTGGGTTGAATATGTTTGGGGATCTTTTGGCCTCCTGAATCTGAAGATCTGTGACTTTCCCTATACTTGGGAAGTTTTTGGCTATTATTTCATTGAATATGTTTTTAATGCCATTTCCTTTTTCCTCCTCTTTTGGAATACCCATGATTCGGGTATTTGGGCACTTATGTTGTCTGTTATCTCCCTTAGATTTTCTTCAATTTTTTAAATTCTTTTTTCTGGTCTGTGTTAATTCAAACAGCCTCTCTTCAAGGTCAGAAATTCTCTCTTCTGCTTGTTGTAGCCTTCTGGTTAGACTGTCTGTTGTGTTTTTTATTTTGTTGAGTGAATCCTTCATCTCCACAAGCTCTGCTACATTCTTTTTCAGGGCATTGATTTCTTTGTAGATTCTTCTTTCAGATCTTGTATATTTTGTCTCATTTCAGTTGTCTGAGTTTTCTTGTATCTCATTTACTTTCCTTAGAGTTGTTGCTATAAATTCCTTGTCAGTCATTTCAAGAACTTCCTGTTCAATAGGATCCAGAACTTGAGAGTTATTATTTTCCTTTTGTGGTGATGTACTTTCTTGATTTTTCATATTTCTGGTATCTTTCTTTTGGTGCTTAGTCATTGTGGCAAGGGGTATCATGGTCCACTTGTCCCACCCTGATGTCTGTCCTGGATCCTGAGCAGTGGGAACTAGCCTGGGCTGGGGGTACTGTGGTGCCTGCCTGTTCTGGTATGGCTGGCTTGAGGCATGTGTGTCCAGCAGCTCTCGGGCCTCTCTGGGCAGGAGTGATTGACTTGGGCTGGGGGTCCTGCAGTGCTGCCTGTTCTGGTGCAGCTAACTTGGGGCATGAAGGTCTGGTGGCTCTCAGGCCTCTCTGTGTGGTGGGGACTGGCCTGGGCTGGGGGTCCATTGCACCTGCCTCTTGTGGCATGGCTGACTTGGGGCACGTGGGCCCGGCAGCTATCGGTCCTCTCTGGGTGGCAGGTACTGGCCTGGGCTGGGGGTCCTGTGGCACGTGGCTCCTGCCTGTTCTGGTACAGCTTTGGGTCTTCTGTTGTTGCTTTTTGATAGTTGCAAATTGGTTGATTTGTAGGAGATAGTGATGCTAGGAACTGTCTGCTCTGCCATCTTGACCGGAACTCCCATTTCATTTGTATTTTCAGATGTAGTATTTATATTTTATTGTGTTTTTTAAAAGTAAGTTAATATTACAAAAATAAAATGTTATAATTATTAAAAAGTTTAAAAATAGGACATGCAAAAAGAAAAAAATCACAGTAATCCTGTTCACCAGAGATAAACTACTCTTAACATATTTTTGTTTACCTTCTTATTTTTCCTTAGTTATATATATTATTTTTGAAATAGCAAATGATATATTGTGCATAGTATTTGGTAATGCACTTTCATCTTAAGAAAATATTCTGATCTTTTTTTTTTAATTTGTGTGGGTCTTTTTGGCCTGGTTGAGGCTGGTTCGTTATTTATTTCATTAAGTATTCCAATTTTTCTGGAAAAATAGGTACAGTGTTTATATGTAAGGTTCAAAGTTTAGTCCCTGAAATGTATATATCCAACATCATTTATAATATTTTTAAATAATATTTCTATTGATATTCTTTGTCTACTTTTCCTGTCAAAGATTTCACTAAGTTATGTTAAAGTTGCCAGCTGCTATTATTTCTGTCAACTTTTCTTTATCATTTTTGTTTTTTATTTATATAGTTTCTCTCTCTCTGTCTACCCTTAAATATATACACATACACATGAGGGTACTTCAAAAAGTTTGTGGAAACATTTGTATTATCTTTCAGTTCTATTTTTCCATGAACTTTTTGAAGTATCCTTATACACACACACACACACACAATGCTAATTATTATATAATTCCTTATGATTATTTTATCTTCATTATTAACTCTATTGTGTTTCATGCTTTTGTTTTGAGTGCTACTTTGTCTGATGTGAATACAGTCATGGACTGCCTAACAATGCTTTGGTCATATATGATGGTGGTCTTATGAGATTATAATGGAGCAGAGAATTTTTTTCCCTCCCACAGAATAATCACAAAAATTCCTTGAACTATTTAAGTCAAGTGAACAGATATGGTGTAGGGGGAGGGGAGGGTGTGGAGAGGATTGGGCAAAGGGGCATGAAAATCAAGTACAATGTATATTGAGAAGTAAAATAAAAAAATAAAAATTAAAAAAAAAATAAAGTGGGTTTATAATGAAAAAAAAAAAGAAAAATTTTTGCCAAGTGACATTGTAACTGTCATATTACCTTAGCACAATTACTTTATTTTTTAATAAATTTAATGTAGCCTAAGTGTATAGTTTTGATAAAGTTTTCAGTAGTGTACATAATTTCCTGGGCCTTCACATTTACTCACCACTCAGTCACTGACTCTCCCAGACC